TTCCTGGTCCTCCTCAAGTAACTTTCTGAAACCTCCTTATTGTCATTCTGAACCTTTCCTAAGGTGCTTCCTGAGTTACAAGGTAAATCTACTAGCTGTTTCTACAGTTCTGTTTCTAGACCCTTGTTTGGGAAATCTAGTTTGAATGTTACAGAGCCCATTGTAGAGAGTCTTTCAGTGTGCTTAGTCTCCATCTTCTGCAGATCATTATCAGTGAGTGCTGACTGGCTGGGTTGCAAGGGGCCAGCTTGTCATTTTTCTGGCACTGACTCTTCCCTGGAAAGTGATCCTGAGGCTGCATCTGTCCTGATGCTAGAAATCTACAGTGAGGGCCTAGCTGTGGTTGAACACTGATTAAATTTCCTTGAATATGTTTCTCGAGTCTGTTCTCTAGCTCCTGACTGGCAGAATCCGCAGAAACTGTGGGGACAGAGTTGGAAATTTGGGAGGCCCTTCTTCCCTGGGAAGATTGAGAGCTGGCTAGTTAATGACTTCCAGAGTCTTTTTGATCTCAGAGAATAAAACCTTCTTTTATTTCAGTGAGATCTGCAAGAAACATTCTGAATGTTGATATTCAATTGGGAAGAAAGACTGTGCCTCCTTTTCAGATTTAGAGCAAGTTGTTGTGCCAGATTAATCTGGGAGGAAGAAGGTGGTAAGTTTGGAAAAGTGTATGAAGTGCTAGACAGGGTCTGACCCTGATCCACAAATGGAGACAAGTTTTGTACAAAAAGTTGGGATTTGGCCTTCTACTGGGCCAAGGGCTCCTGCTGGAAAATCTGTGGAGGTTGTTCATCCTGACATTGTACTGAGAGAGATTCTGAGACTATGTTGAATGCTACATGTTTACACTGTGCAGTAGAGGACGTCTTAGAGACCCAGGCAGTAGCCACCAGTGACTCTCTGTGCAGAGAGGGCAGACCCCAGAACAACTGGCTGTAATTTTTCTCTAAATGCTCCCCCAAGACCTTCTTGTAAGAGAAATCCTGAGGATCATGAAGCTGCTCTGGTTTTTCTTTTGTGTTCCAGAAGATTTGTGCAGTGGTGTCTCTCTTGCTACCCAGTGACTCGAACATGTTTCCCAGAGAATACAGGGTGTAATCTGGACTCATTTGTTTGAAAGAGGACCCATTTTTAGAGTTTTCCTCCCACACTTTTAGTTCTACTCTTTTGGTGATAAGCATTTCTATCAGTGTCTCTACATCAGAATTGATGAAAGAGAGGCCTCCAGACACTACCTGCCAACGTGTGGGGTCTACCAAGACTTTGGGGTCTGATGGATGGTGGAAAAGATGTTCTTGTTTGGATTTGCCATGACCCCAGTAGAGAAAAATAAGAGCTTGACAGTTGCTCACCACCAGGAAAGGAACGAAATTAAATAGCTTATGCAGTATAGATCTGACATGGCAGTGATCAGGGATGCCCAGTATGAGTGACCTACAAGGGAGATCAGTGGCACAATGTCCAGTGAGGTTCTATTCAAGTCAGACTTGTCTTCATGTTCTTCTGGTAAGGATGAGACCAGAGACAGAGTGTGTTTGGTCAGAGGAGCTAGAGAACCCCAATGTGAGTAAGATGGTAGAAGGATCTTCCAAATGTTGATGAAGTAGCTCTTGAACTCCAGCAGGCTCTTGCAT